AAAATTGTGTATTTATTCTTAAATTTTAAACTTCAGTCACCTTCAAAGTACTCCCAGTTTGATGCAATACACCTATGGAGATGCTTTTTCCGCTGCTCAAAGCAGTTTTTGAACTCGTCAATTTTGATGCCTTTTAGTGCTTCTGCCATTTTTCTGTTTCACCTCTTCCACATCAGCAAAACGTTTCCCTGTGAGGACTTTTTTCATCAGGGAAACAAAAAAAAAAGTCACTCCAAGTGAGATTGGGTGAATAGGGAGGGTAAGGCACAGGGGTCATGCTGTTTTTAGTCAAAAACTGCTGCACATTAAGCATGGTGTGGGCCGGTGTGTCGTCATGGTGGAAGAACCGGTCACTGTTTGACACAACTCAGTATGATTTTTCTGCCAGTCATTTCTTACAACAACACTAGCTGGTACACTGGTACCAATGGGTTCCTAGAACACTTACCTAGTGGAGGAAGCCTGTACTACAAGGGGTCTGCCCTCCAAAATGTAATTCTGAATCTTTGGGGGCCCCCTTCATAATTGACTATAGGCAGTGGTGCCTGGAACTCTGAGGAGAAAGCTTGCTTTTAAATCAGGGTTTCCTTCTGATTTGAGGTACATGGATATCAGAAGAAGAGTAGAGTGGGAGCGTGGACTTTGTGTTGACTCCAGGGAGAGATTTGGGACTCTTGTTAGTAACTCAGACTTTACAGCTCTGCTACAAAGAGCAAGAATAAAGTGCTGTATATTGGATCCAGAAAAAATTCAAGAGTGGAGTGGATAAGCTTTGTGCCCTATTCTTTTTTATTAATAGACACTTTTTATCTGTTGTTTCAGAAAGGGTATTAGAACATGACTGGTTTTGACTATTACATGCAGCATATCCCCATGCTATAACCCTCTTTGTCCAGTGGGTGTCAGACACACACAGCCTTTCTCATTCTTAATCTGTATTTGTTGAAAACGACCCTTTCACCCACCCTTGCCCTGGTTAAAAGGATCAATTTTTTGCAATTTAAGCATGCAAAACAACTGAAACAGTTGCCTAGATACTGGAAACAGAGTTGTACTAAGAACTTGGGATATGGTCACACCCAGGACAGTGTGAAAGGGGTGATAAATGTTGGGGAAACCCAGGTTAAGTCCAGTGGGTCTCACTAAACAGATGTTAAGTGCTAGTATGAAGGAGGGTCTCTAAAAGGAACGGCTAAGCCTCCAGCTCCGAAACACAGAAGCACAGCCATGATATAAAGTCTCCTGTTTCCCTCAGGTGAAAGAAGTTGAGGCTCTGACCAGTAGTTAGTGTCCTAGAAAAAGCACTCAGTGTAAACAATTAATCTCCCACTTCCCCTTGAATAGATTAAGTGTTTTGTCTTCGGCCTGTGGTAAAACATTTCTTTGAGCCTCAGTTTTCTAATATTTATTTATTCATTTATTCTTTCTTTCTTTCTTTCATTTATTATTTTTTGAGTCAGTGTTGCTCACCGCAGTCTCAACCTCCTGGGCTCAGGAGATCCTTCTGCCTCAGCCTCCCAGGTAGCTGAGACCACAGGAGCATTCCACCACAGCCAGCTACCTTTTCTTGTTTTAATTTCTGTAGAGACAAGGTCTCACTATATTTCCTATGCTGGTCTTAAAATGTACTTCTGGCCTCAAGCAACCCTCCTGTATTGGACTCTCAAAGTGATGGGATTATAGGTATAAACTGCTGTGCCTGGCCAGCTTCCTGATCTTTAAAATATGGCCTTGTCTACCTGAGATACTGAGGAGAGGAAAAATTGAGATATCGTTGAAAAATGTTTTTGGGCCGGGCTCGGTGGCTCAGCCTGTAATCCCAGCACTCAGCCAAGGAGAGTGGATTGCCTGAACCCACGGGTTCGAGAGCAGCCCGGGCAACTTGGCGAGTGCTCATCTCAATAAATCGAAAATTAGCTGGGCATGGTAGCACCCGCCTGTAGTTCCGGCTACTTGGAAGGCTGAGGCAGAAGGATTGCCGGAGTTCAGCAGGTCGACCCTGGGGTGGCCATGAGCATGCCACTGCACTCCAACCTGGATGACAGTGAGACTCCAACTCAAAAAAAAGCTTTTGGATTGTAAAGTTCTATTTCGATATAGAATCAAATAAAAATACAAAGGCAAATGTAGAATAGTTTTGAATATAAAATAATTCAGTGCTCAAAATTTAATAACCTTGGTTAATAATTCGTACAGATTTTTTTTTCTCAATGTATTACATCAAGACTTCTTTCTCTGCTGTGTTCAACGCCAGTCACATGGAATTTTGACACACTTAGGGTCTGTGTCACAAAAAGTTTAATCTAAAGAGAGACACTTAATATAAATAATGATCCCTTTGAAGGAGAGGAGATTTTCTAGCCTTTACATTGCACTATTAATAGACAGTCATAAGCTACTTGTAAATTCAAAGTGCTAAAAAAATAGAAATTTTAATCTTTCACAGCTCTTTCTTTCCAGTGTATTTGATCCCATAACCTTCTCCCCCTTAGCTTCTTAGTTTATAAATTAAGAGGGCTAGAGGTTAACATATTGATGTCATTTTGCACTGGTTTTATCAAGAGACCCCAAATTCACCACATTCATGTTTTATCCCATATTAAGTCTGCACTATTTACATTAGAATTACAAAACATTACTGAAAGAACTCACGTTTGAGAAGCAGAAAGATTGTTTGTTTGTACCTGGATGTTGAAATCTGAGCAGAAATCTTCAAATCAGAATGCTTTGAATCCATCAGATTTTCCCCCAGTGCTTTCTCAGGTTGTCAGGAAAGGCCAGAGACAATTCAAAACGTTTTCATTTCCCATGACTCATCCCCCTCCCGTGGAGTTTTGTGCTATATATTCCCTGCCTTGTCTGTTCTTTTTGATGAAAATCCTTTACACCCTATCCCACTTTTTTTTTTTTTTTTTTTGCTGAGGTTTTCAATTTGCTGTATCTCAAACTAGCAAAAGGAGAAGGAGAGGAGGTTGAACTCCTAACCTTTGAAACCTCTTAATACTTGCTGAGTGATCAAGGGACAGACTAAAAAAAAAAAAAAAAAGACTGCTGAACGGACTTTACCCTGTTTGGAAAAGCTTTTGCTACAGTAACTCAACTAACTTTGTTTTAAGGAATTAAGTATCTATTTTCCTTAAAATCCAAAATCTTTTGGAACATTTTTCAGAAAGTAAGGCCAAGTTTCTGTCATTAGTGGTCAGTTTGTAAAACTTTATGTTTTAGATCCACTTTAAAATGAAATAATTTGGCCAGGCATGGTGGCTCAAGCCTGTAATCCTAGCACTTTGGGAGGTCGAGGCGAGAGGATTGCCTGAGCCCAGGGGTTTGAGACCAGCCTGGGCAACTTGGTGAGACCTGGCCTCTACAATATATCAAGAAAAATTAACTGGGCACAGTAGCACGTGCCTATAGTTCCAGCTACTTGGAAGGTCAAGGTGGAAGGATCACTTGAGCCCAGCAGGTCGACGCTGGGGTGGCCATGAGCATGCCACTGCACTCCGGCCTGGGTGACAGAATGAGACTCTGACTAAAAAAAGAAAAAAAAAAGAAATATTGCTTAATAACTTTATTTTACACTTAAACTGTCTGCTATATTGCTTCTTGGTTTTGTTTTTGTTTTTTGTTTTTTATTTTTTCCAACAGCAAACATCACTGCTCTCACCTTAAGGCAGAAGTTTCTGAGTGAAATTCTTCAGGGACATGGAGGCACAATTTCAATATGGTAATACGTTAGTTATCTCGGAACCTCAACAAGTGTTTCATATCAGCGAGGTGCTGATAATTCCCTGTGTCTGCTTTTCAAATAATGTATAGATGCAAAAATATTAGAAGTTGTGGGAATAGGGTTTTAAGTTTTTGTTTTGGGGTTTCAGCCAACCTTAAATAAGAGCTGTGAACAGTGATGCTACCACCCCTTCCTGGTAATTTTGTGTCTTCTCTACTCTTCACAGCTCACAATGACACCAAAGGAAATTCCCATTATTCTCAATTTCTTCCACTTCTCTCCTCCACCCCTGGATTTCTCCTATTTTCAAGAAACTTGAAGAAGTGGTCTCTTCAACCTTGAAGATGTGGTCTCTTCAACCTTCTCACCTGTATTCTCAAATGATCCAGACCTAAATATTTTAATACACTGGCCAGTCTATTTCTGATGAAATTAAAAGTGCCTGCCCAACTGTTCCCTTATTTATAAAGCTCACAAATGCTGTGTGACCTGTAACATTATACCAGCTACTGAGCTCCCCCGGAACAGTTGATGTGGAAGGATTTTACTTCCACTTGGTTACAAGGAGAGAGATGGAGAAAGTGAGAGGCGTACATTGCAAAGAGAAGTAATTCAGTCCATTTTCTCGGTGATCTCTGGAGGCCGTGTGCTAATATTTAAATTGAAGAGGAGGGAGGAGACGGGCCTGAGGATGGAGAGGAACAGTGGAGGTGGGGGCGGAGCCTCGGGCAGCAAATAAAAGCCTTGCTAGGAGAGAAGCGCGTTCGTGTGTGGAGCCGCCACTCTCCTGAACCCGGAGGGATGGGGCAGCCTGTGCCGTAGGACGGGAGATCAGAAGGAGGAAAACAAGGGCAAGAAGACCAGCGAGAAAAAGAGGACATCTGGAAAAAGCGGAGGCAGAAGACCGGGAAGGGAAAAGAAGCCCTTGGCAGGTGGAAACCAGATCTAGAGCCAAACGGTCAGGTCCACAGTTTGTTTTTCTGGGAAAGAAGAAAGTACCTGAGGATTGCCCTTTTTTCTCTGCAGTTAATGAAAACTACTCTTGTCCTCATCATAAAAGAAGAGACTAAGGGGAGGTAAAAGCCATCTGTTTTATGAGGAGGAGCGCTGAAGGGAAATCCGGACTCTCTTTTTGAAGCGTCTGAAATAAGCCTCTGCCTGGTCCACAGAACAGAATCATCCTGGTTTCTGAAGACACATCCCTTTCAGCAGTTCTATTTTTTATATTTAAATATATGTCTGCCCCCCCCCCCCCCGCGCACCTTTTTTTTTTTTTTTTTAAGCGAGACTTTTCTTGTTTGCAAACACGAGTGACAAGCAAGTGTCAATACGGGGTGGGACTATTTTTTCGTTTTCCCTTTTATTTGCTTGGCTTTTTTGGAGGGTAAGAGTGGTCCCTATTTCGGACAAGGACATTTTAATTTAAAGCTCTCTCCATTTATTCACACGCATACGCATTGAGGAGAGACAGCCTTGGGGGGTGTTGGAATCCTTCCGAGAACGATGGAAAAGGGAGCCAGGCACCGAAACAACGCTGAAAAGAGCCACCCAGGTGGGGGCGAGTCGGAGGCCAGCCCGGAGACTGGTTCCGGAGGGGGCGGAGTAGCCCTGAAGAAAGAGATCGGATTGGTCAGTGCCTGTGGTATCATCGTAGGTGAGTGCAATTCCTTTTCCCACCCACGCTCCTCTTTCCCTCTGGTGGTCCTCCTGTGGGACCCTAACCCTTCTGAAGCATTAGTTTTCTTCCTACTCCTGAGAAAGGGAATGCCACTCACCTGTACTGTAACCTATCAACACGGGTCAAGTTTGAGAGGCATGGGGAGGGGATACCTATCCTATCTTACATCTCTTGCTCCAAACAAGGCAAACAATTCTGTCCTGTCAGTGTACATAGAATGGAGCAAATCGGGGTCATAAACCTGGATGATGATCTGCATTGCCTGGGAGCTTGTTAAAAATATAGGTCCCGGGCTTTACACTTGGAAGTTCTGATTTAATAGGTGTAAGGTAGGATTAAGGGACCTGAATTTTTAGCAAGCTTTTGGTGCAGCCACCCTCACCAGGCTGTGGATTGGCTTTTGAGGCATATTTGGTAGATATTTTGCTGTTTTATGTTATATGAAACTATGGGATGTGTAATAAAAATGGCAACAAGGACAACAATGCCTTGCCTTCTTATAGGGCATCTATATCCCGTATCCTATAGCCATCTTATGCGGCACTTCCACTGCGTGAAGTAGATGTGACAGGATTGTTATTCCCATTTCACGATGAGGAAGTCGTGGGAGAAAAGAGGGGACAGATTGTGTCTTTCTGTAAATGGATAGTTGGCAGTTTTCTCCGGCTGCCTAGTGGATTCCACCTGCCTCAGCACCCACGGAAGACATTGTGAGGTTCTCCAAGGGAATCAGAAGTAACTAGAATGTGGAGTTGAGGAGGAACAGACGGGTAAAATGTGTGCCCCAGCTGGGGGGGGGGGCTCTGAATGTGCCAGTTCAGGCCCCTCCAACACCCCAACTGTACTCCACAGGACAGAGGGGTCCCAGATACAGTTTTGTCTCTAGACAACATGTCCTCTTTCCAGAGAAGCCCTGGAGATGGATAGTGAGCAAGGGCTTCAGAGGGCAGAAATCTTTGGTGGAGGACTTTACTTTCTTCTCAGAGAAAGGGGTGCAAGACTGTCAGGCCTAGATATGTTTCTGTGTCATCTCTCCAGAGTTCCTTTATGAAAGCTTAATGTGTCCTGGTGCTCATGAACCAGTTTCTCTGACCGACGCCATGTTCCATGTGGTAGCTCAGAGACATTTTGGCACCTGAGCAATAGTGACACTGGAGAACACCCTCAAAATCAAATAAAATCAGTTTAGTATTCAGATAATCCTCTTCACCTCTACACCCAGGCTTCAGTGATCATGTTATCTCCCATATCTTTTCAAAATGGGATCCCTTTTCTTTTCTTTTCTTTTCTTTTCTTTCTCCACCCTCCAGAATTCCATTTTATCTGATTCTCTGACTCTGGGAGATTTTCCAGCATCTACAATTATAAGAAAGTTAAAGTTATAAGAAAAATTATAGTCCTGATCTGAATCTCTCATTACTTTTTCTTTGCCTCTCCTTTACTTTATCTCAATTGCTCTAAAAAATGAGATCAGCCAAGTCCTCAGTATGTATATCACATGCCAGTTAAGATCTATAAATAGCCCAGAGCCTGTTACCTCTTTCACCAGTTTGACTGATAGAATTAAGCATTTTCCTCCCTTTGGGAAAGTTCTGATTTACACATAGATGTGCATGCCCACATGTACACAAGCACAATTCAGACCTCCTTCCTGCCTCAGCCTTTCGGGTATTTAAGAGCAGAGGGTATTTATTCTATACGCTGAGGTTTTCATCTATTTCTGTGACATTTTTACTAAGACTATGAAGAAATGGGAGTGTACAATAAGTATAATTTCAGTTGGGTGAATGTTAACTACTGGTTTGCCCACGACCTCATAGATGGTACTTCAATGTGAGAATAGTTCCAAAGCTCCCCACGGTGGCATTATAGTAACAAGAATAGCAACTATGGTGTTCTGGTGAAGAGAGATTCCAAATATGTGATGTCAGAGAAATCAGGATAGGTTTCCAAAGTGTGAGATTCCTTGGAGAGTTAATAGACACTGTTCTACTCCCATTCATGCTAGAATGAGACACAGATTACCTCATTAGGATGAAATGGGAGCAAAATCCTTTCTGTTTCTCCTCCTGCATGGCTGTTGAGTTGCAGATGTGCTGAGGAACTGCCCTGTCCTCTACTAGTGGGGTTTCCAAGTGAATGATAGTGATTTCGGTTTTTTCCAAGACCAAATGCAAAAATAGAAGTAGCACTTTTCACACAGATTTCAGTGATCTGGTTTCAATGTCAACACTATGAAAGAAAGAGAATTAAAAGGCAAAAAGAGACAAGAAATTTGCTAAGTGAATCGGGGGGTATGGCATGATTTCGAAAGGTACGTTTACCCCAAATCTCTCTATCTCATACCCAACTGACTTAGATAAATTAAACTACATGTTTCACATAAGCTCATAAAATTCATTCACAATCATCGCAGATGACCAAAAGTAGGAATAACAGAATGGCAGGAATGATGGGAATATGCAACAAGCTAATAGAAGACTCATGCCATAGAGTTACTTATAACCTGATTGGGAAGGTGAGATTCATATGCACTAAACAGAGAACATTGAAAATTAATATTTGGTTTAGTTGTATTAGAACTGAAGGAGGGCAAAGTTAGATGAATGGCAGAAGGCACATGGAGAGAGAGCTTCTCACCAAGAACAGATTAGGAAGATTCTTGAAGGATGTCAGGAAAGATGGAGTAGGGAAGATGGGTCTGGGAGGTTTTGTAGGTAAAAGTGTAAGGACTAAACTGTTTTTTTCCTTGATCAAAAATTGTGTCCTAAAAAAAAAAGTTTGAGCCAGGCTGGTTGTGCAGGCCTGTAGTCCAGTTACCTGGGAGGCTGAGGCAGGAGTATCTCTTGGTTACATCAAGCTGTGGTCATACCACTGCACTCCAGCCTGGACAATATGGTAAGACTGCCGTCTTAAAAAAAAAAAAGTTGTGTTGTATACAACTCTGAATCTTTAGTTCTCAGCAGAGTGCCTGATATGGAGCAAGTCCTTAAATGATTTTTGAATTTAATTGACTCGAACAAAAAATCTGAAGGCAGTAGTAATAATAAACACAATCTGACCGGGCACAGTGGCTCAAGCCTGTAATCCCAGCACCTTGGGAGACCGAGACGATTGCCTGAGCCCATGGGTTCGAGACCAGCCTGGGCAACATGATGAGACCTCGTCTCTACAATAAGTAAAAAAATCAGCCGGGTGTGGCAGCGCATGCCTGTGGTTCCAGCAACTTGGAAAGCTAAGGCAGAAAGAGGGCCTGAGCCCAGCAGATCAAGGCTGCAGTGGCTATAAGCATGCCACTGCACTCTAGCCTGGGCGACAGAGTGAAACGCCAACCCAAAAAATATATATATATATATTTAAAAATATATATATTACATTTTGTAGAGACAGAACCTCGCTGTGTTACCCAGGCAGGTCTCAAACTCCTGGCCTCAAGTAGTCCTGCCACTTCAGCCTCCCAAAGAGCTGGGATTATAGGTATGAGCCACCATATCTGGTCTTGTTTTAATTTTTTAACATTACCCTTGCCCTAACCTAACCAGACTTTTGCTCTCCATGTACTTGGCTAAGGAGACCTATTGGCAGCAGATGAACCTAGATTTCACCATGAATGTGGAGTCCACTCAAAATCTAAAGAGGGTATGAAGGATAACAAAATTCATTTATGAATGATATCAAAGCTACTGTTAATATCTGTCATTATAACCTCTTAGTATCTACCTAACATACATAAAGTTATTTGTGCCTCACGATAACCCTTGTTTGGTAGGCACTTATTATTTCTTCCTTCAAATAAGGAAATAGAGGCTCAGAGGAATGTGACTTTCCAAAAATAACACAACCAAAAATATTGGAGCTAGGATTTGAACCCAGAGCTTGTCTGAATCCTGAATCAAACTCTTAAGCATGTAAGCATCATAAGCATCTCAAACCCATAAGGGATATTTTCCTTTACAATCTGGATCCTTATTCTTTTTTATAGATGCAGCAATGAATGCTGTGTTTCCAGTGAGGAAGGTTCCCAATGTAAAGGGGAGCTGGGAATAGAAGAAAGTAATGTTCCTGGTGCAATTGCAGGAAGACTCGGGGTGAACCTGAGGTGCATCTGGCCAGCTCAGACCACGCTCGCATTAACTCCTGCAAATGCACCCCTTTCCTTTTGGACCAACATTCTTCCCACAGAGTTTCTGGCTGTTTAAGTACCTTTATACCAGTCATGTATTTAAGTATGTAACCAGAATCTATGTCTTGAAGGCAAAAAGGCTGACTGAAGAGCCTATAAAATTTTGCCAGACCATTATGTTCTCAGCACAATGTATGTTCATGAAGGAACTTGTTTCATTTGCTGCAGGACAATACTGGATGCAAGTCTAGCTACTAGACTGCTATTTCCCCACTAATACAATTTTTAAAAAATAGTATTTATTAGCCGGGCTCGGTGGCTCAGCCTGTAATCCCACGCCTTTGGGAGGCTGAGGTGAGTGGATTGCCTGAGCCCGCGGGTTCGAGACCTGCCTGGGCAGCGAGACCTCATCTCGACAATAAATCAAAAAATCAGCCGGGCGTGGTAGTGCACGCCTGTAATTCCGGCTACTCGGAAGGCTGAGGCGGAAGGATCGCCGGAGCCCAGC